CCCTCACATTTCCCTCCACTTTCCCCTCACATTTCCCTCCATTTCCCCCTCACATTTTTCCTCCATTTTCCCCTCACATTCGCCGCCATTTTCCCCTCACATTCGCCGCCCTTTTCTCTCCTCACCTTTCCCTCCATTTTCCCCTCACATTTCCCTCCACTTTCCCCTCACATTTCTCGCCATTTTCCCCTCACCATTGCCCATTTTCCCCTCACATTTCCCCCCATTTCCCCCTCACATTTCCCTCCATTTTCCCCTCACATTCGCCGCCATTTTCCCCTCACATTTCCCTCCATTTTCTCCTCACATTTTTCCTCCATTTTCCCCTCACATTTTTCCTCCATTTTCTCCTCACCTTTCCCTCCATTTTCCCCTCACATTTCCCACCGTTTCCCCCTCACCTTTGCCCATTTCCCCTCACCTTCCCCCCCCAATGTCCCCTCGGTGTCCCCTCACCTGCAGCTCCGGCACCGCCATGCCCTCCATGGCCAGGGGTGGGCACAGCTCCCCCAGCACCCGAATTTTCTCGGCCGCCCTCTCCTGCTCCTCCTTCTCCAGCTCCCGCTTCGCCCTCTGCAGCAGCAGCGTCTGGGGGGGACATTTGGGGACACCCCCGAAATGTGGGGACACCCCCCGAAATGTGGGGACACCCCCGAAATGTGGGGACACCCCCCGAAATGTGGGGACACCCCCGAAATGTGGGGACACCCCCCGAAATGTGGGGACACCCCCCGAAATTTGGGGACACCCTCGAAATTTGGGGACACCCCCGAAATCTGGGGATACCCCCCGAAATGTGGGGACACCCCCGAAATTTGGGGACACCCCAGGACCTTCATGAGCACCCCCAATATCAGGGGTAAGCTACCAAATTTGGGGACAAACTCCTCAAATTTAGCTGGGACATTGAAATTTTAGGGTTTTTTTTGTGAGGGGACCCACGCAAAAATTTGGGAACACCCCCGAAATTTGGGGACATCATCAGGACCCTCATGGGCATCCCCAAAATCAGGGGTAAACCCCAAAATTTGGGGATAAATCTCTCAAATTTAGCTGGGAAATTTAAATTTGGGGGTTCTTTGAGTGGGGGACATTTTGGGGACCCCCCAAATTTGGGGACCCCACCCCGAGCACCCCAAATTTTGGGGACCCCCCCTCACCTTCAGCTGGAGCTTGCGAGACGCCGAAATTTTGGATTTTCTCTGGAGGGAGAGAAATTTGGGGTCAGAATTGAGGGATTTCGGTGTTTTTGGGGAGGGATTTTGGGGTTGTTTTTTGGAAGTTTTGGGGTGAAATTGAAGGATTTTGGGGTTGGGGGGTTTTGGGGGGATTTTCAGGGTGGTTTTTTTAGGTTTTGTGATCTCTGTGGGGTTCCTGGGGGGTTTTGTGGATATTTTTGGGGTTTTGGGGGTGTTTTTTTGGGGTTTCCAGGGTGGTTTTTAGGGTTTTGATGGAGTTTTTTTGGGGGGTTTTTGGGTGTTTTTAGGGTTTTTGGGTTGTTTTGGGGTTCTCAGGGTGGTTTTTTTGTGTTTTCAGGGAGTTTTTTAGGGGGGTTTTGGGTGTTTTTTAGGGTTTTGGGGTGTTTTGGGGTTTTGAGGGTGGTTGTTTGGGGTTTTCAGGGTGTTTTTTAGGGTTTTTGGGGTGTTTTGGGGTTTTCAGGGTGTTTTTTGGGGGTTTTTGGGGTGTTTTGGGGTTTTCAGGGTGGTTTTTTGGTGTTTTCAGGGTTTTTTTAGGGTTTTTTGGGTGTTTT